CTTTTAAAAAGACCTTAACTTTTGAATGAGAAAAAAGATAGGGGTTCCATATTATACATGTACATTATCAGTGACAAGACCTTACCAAATGAACTACCGTTTTTGGCCCGTAACCTTGACCCTGAAGCTAAACCTACTTTTCCAAAAGTTTAATTTTTGCTTATAATTTTTCATTGACAAAAGATAGGAATTTTATACCGGTATTTGACATATGCATTAACGGTGACAAGAAGTTTCCAAGCATGCTATGATTTTTCACCCTTTCACTTTGACCTTCATGTTTGACTTAATTTTCAAATATTTTAACTTTGAGGAATACTTTTGAATGAGATGTGATAGGGAGTTCATTTTTGACAAGTGCAATACTGAAACAAATTGTTCCCTAATGAGCCATGTATTTGACCCCGTGACATTGACCTTAGTTTGATCTTATTTTCAAACGTTTTAACGGTGCTGCTTACTTTTGAAAGAGCAAAGACAAAGCACTTATATTTTTTTTTATTCTTCAATCACACAAATTATAAATACAAACAGTCACAGTTATATTAAGAAAAAAAAATGTGTGAAAGAATTTATTTTGGGGGGGATTAAGAAAAGATAGAAAAGAAGAGGGGAAAAGATGGAGAGGGAAGAGGGATGAGAAAGGAGGGGCACTGAACCTTCAAAATATTAATAAAAATTGATTTTTGAATTCTTACAATTTTTCAACAATTTCCTGCCAGTGTCTTGTAAATTCCTCAAATTTACAGTTTTTTAACAGTAAAAACTTTTCAACTCTAATTCTGTCAGTAATTACATGTTTTAATTCTTCAATGCTTAATTTTATTGGATTTTTGAACTTACTCGAAAAAATATACTGTTTGATAGTCATAATAAGGAGATTCTCAAACTTGTATTGTTCTCTGTTTGTAAATTTACCAAACAAGATTGATTTCTTATCGAAACAAACTAACCGGTTTAGTTTATTCAAAATCCATTCTTCAATTTCCAACCAAAGTTCTTTAACACAGAAGCAATCAACGAAAAGATGATCAATAGTTTCAATATCAGTATCACAGAAGGAACATAATGGTGAAACAATTAATTTTAATTTGTAAAGATAACTTTTAGTAGGAATTATTCTATGTAAAATTTGAAATTGTAACCATTGAAATTTAGATTCTTGTTTTAAATGGTAGCTCAAATATTTTTTCCCATGTTGCCTCAAAAAATTGTTCTTCTTTTCTCCATTTTATAACTGAACTTATTTCACCCTTTTTATTTTTAATGAGAAGATTATACATATCTTTACACCCTTTTTTACTCTTGAAAAAAATAAGTGAACTAGCAGGAATAAGTGGTCTGGAAATTGACATTGTTTTGTAATCTTTAAAACAGGCTAGTCTCTTTCTCATAGCAGTTCTTAGTCCTGCATATTCAATTTAATTTGTTTTCACATTAAAGTTATTTTGAATATGATTAAAACTATAGATATTACCATTTGGATCAAGGAAATCATTAATAAAAACAAAACCAGAATTAAAATTACTTTTAATAAAAATTGACCGGCCACCAATGGTGACCTTTGGATTGTACCAAACATGTTCTTGCTGGAGTGTTAAACCATTCATAGCTTCATTCTGATATACTTTAGACCAGCTAAAAAATACATCTTTCCAGAATTTATTTCTCAAGTTATTGCCTAAATTCTTAATATAATCAATTCCAAACACCCAAAGATGATTTATACTTGTTTTTAATTCTGCCTCAAGTAAGCTGACCCATTTGGCTTTTGAATGTATTACCCGTCTTATCCAACTTGCCTTCAATGATGTAACAAATTCTTTATAATCTATCATCTTTAGACCACCATATCTGTAGTCTTGAATTATAACATTTTTCTTAATTTTATGATTCTTCTTATTCCAAAGGAAATTATACAAATCTTTTTCAAAAGCACGTATTACTTCTTCACTGGGATTTGGTAATGTTAGGATTAGATGGTTTAGTTTAGGAATTAATAATGTTTTTATTACAGTCAATCTTCCAAGAGGAGTGAGCTTTCTAGCTTTCCATTGTATCATGACTTTCTTAATCTCTTCTATTTTTAATTTATAATTCATTTCTACCATTTCATCCAGATTAATAGAAAACTGAACCCCTAATAAATCGAAGGTTGTATAATTTGGATCAAACTTCCATCTGGAGTGATGAAACACTTCTTTTGAAAATTTCTTGCTTCCAATCCAGATCAGTTTTGTTTTTGTAAAATTTATCTTTAATCCTGAAATTGCAGCAAAATAATCTAATACTCTTGCAATTCCATCTAATGAGCTTGGAGAACCATCAGAAATAACAGAAGTGTCATCTGCATATTGTGATAACTTATACTCTTCACCATCAATGGTTATACCTTTTACGTCTTTATTTTTTCTAATCAAAATACCTAATATCTCTGCACAAGTAAGGGGAAATAGGATCCCCTTGTCTACAACCTCTCCCAGGACAGAAATATTTGGACACAATCCCATTTTGAATAACACATGATTTGATATTGCTATAGAAAGATTTTATCCAATTTCTAATTGATATACCAAAATTAAAAAAACATAATGTTTGGTGTATAAAATTCCATGAAATTGTATCAAATGCTTTTTCAAAGTCAATAAACATTAGACGACCAGGTATTTTTCTTAATTCAGCTTGATGCATGATATCGTATATTAATCTAATATTTTCTCCAATAAATCTGCCTTTGATAAACCCAGTTTGGTCTCCATGTATTAACTTATCTAAGAAAACTTTCAGCAATACATCCAGATGCTAATTTGTATACAACATTCAAGAGACTTATAGGACGCCAGTTTTTTAAAAATTGTCGTGGTTTTCCAGTTTTTGGAATACAAGTTATTACACCTAGTTTGTTGGATTCAGAGAAACTTTGTTTTACGTATGAGTCATTTATTGCACGCGTCACAAATGTGCCAATATCTATCCAAAAAAATTCAAAGAATTCACAAGTAATTCCATCTGGACCTGGGCTTTTATCATTCTTCATTTGTTTAAGACAATTAAGTACCTCCTTTTTTGTTACAGGGCCCTCTATACTTTGAGATTCCTCTAAGGATAACTTTGGGATATCCTTATATTCTGCTAGTTTTTCACTATAATTTTCATTCTCTAAAATATCTCTTTTTTTATATAGATTTTCATAGAATAATTTAGTTTCATTCAAAATGTCATACTGTTCAGAAACAATGGTACCATTTTCTTTTTCTATTCTGGTATCTGTTTACTTATATAGTTTCTAGATTCTAACTGACTAAAAAATTTGGTTGGTTTTTCTCCTTCATCAATCCATTTCATTCGAGATCGAATAACCTGTCCCTTCAATCTAGTCTTATGTATACATTCAAGTTCTGATTGCTTCTTTGTAAGGGTTGTGAGTAAATTTTCCGTCAGATTTTGTTCTAAATATAGAATCTCTTTTTCTAAATTTAATTCTCTTTCGATCATCTTTTTTTTCTTATATGTTGAATAAGAAATAGTCTTTCCTCTACTTTCCATAAGTAAAATATCTAAAAATAACTGGTCATTGACAGTAAAAAAAAAGAATTCATTATCGATACTACTAAGATTGACCATGTTGTATACTGGGCAAGCATACTGAGTTTTCACTTCATTTATTTTTTCCTTTATCAGTTTTAAATAATCTTTATCTGTTAAAAGGGAATTGTTAAACTTCCAAAAACCTTTGCCTTTTACAAAGTTATTTATCTTTATGGACATTACAACTGGGGAATGGTCTGATCTGTAACTATTTTCATATTGAATACAAGTAGCAGAAGGGACCAATGATTCAGAGATAAGAAAAAAATCAAGTCTAGCCTGTTTTAAAGGTGTCTTACTCCTCCAAGAATAGCGTCTAACTTGTGTATAGTTTTCACGAAACACATCTTTTAAATTTAACTTTTCCATTAAATTCATAACTTCCAATCTTGCTTTGGGATTATTTAAATTTTTATAGTTCATGGAATCTATTTCTTTATCTAGAACTAAATTAAAGTCCCCTGCCATGATAATTTCCTGATTTGTATATAAATTTTCTATCTCATTCATCAGATTAGAATAGAAAACTGGTGTATCTGAATTAGGTCCATAGATATTAACTAATATAAATTGTACACCCTCAATAGCACAGTCTATATCTAAATAATTACCATTTTCATCATTTAAGTGTCTGTGAATATCTATTTCACAGTTATTATTAAACAGTATTGCTACTCCACGTGAATTTGACTTAAAAGAACTAAAAAAAGCCTGACCGCCCCACTGTGCTTGAATAATTTTTTCATCATCACTTATAAAATGAGTATCTTGTAGAAAATAAACATTACAATTCTTTTTTCTTAGAGTATTAAAAACATCTAATCTTTTATTTTTATCTCCGAGACCTTGGCAGTTAACTGTGAGTATTTTTAAATGGTTTTCTTTAATCGTATCCATACAGGAACATCAACAAAGAATCAAAATAGTGCCCGTAGTGAAGAAAGAGAAGGAAAGAGATGAATACAAAAAAGAAAAAAAATGTTGCATATTTACACAAACAAAAGGCTAAAGCTAACGCCAGCCGATTGAACATATCTCCTAATGGAGAAAAGGAATAAGTCAATCTGTATTTACCTCAAAAAAGCAATGGTAATTCCCAAAACAATTACTATCGGAAACGAATATTGCCGAGTAAAACATGAGTATGTATGGTTAACGTATGTTTTCCCGGAAAGTTAATAAATGCAATAGTCTTAAAAAATAATTATAAAAGAAGAAGGAAAAAAAAAGAGATAAGGATGGAAAAATTCACTTTTACATATTGTACAAGATTTCTAATTACTGTTTTTTTTTTCAATGTAAAATATTTAGTAAGTGTGCCTAACCGCTTTTTTGACAAGTTCACTCATAATTTCAAAGCGACGGGGTCCCAAATGCCTGCCATTTTTCCTCGAAATAATAATTGCAGTATTTCATACTTCCGCATTAACAAGTACCTTTAGCATTCGACGCCCGGCTCCATACTCCCCGTTGTCACAGTGACCATCGTGAACTCGGCCCTGTGCATCTTTGAACCTATACACTAAAATGTTATGATTAGCACAAGCATAATCTGGATTGCGCAAGACGTTTTTGTACAAGTTCCTAACTTGTGCATAGGTTTGAATTTCTACAACCAACGATGTAAAGACATTCCCATCCTCTGTAACCGTATTACTCTTATTAACCTCAACTTCTTCTAGTTTCTCAATTTCTTCTCTGTCGAGCATCAGGAGGTCCTCGGCTCTTGGTAGTAGAACCTTATCCCGGTACACAGATCCATTCGGGAATACGAGCTTGTTCCCCACAATCTTTGTTTTCACATTTTCCTCTCTATACTTAGCATTCATCTCTTGCAGTTTCTTTTTATTTTCATTAATTTGCAGAGGAGTCTGCGGTGTGATATAAAACGGCATGTTGTCAGTGGTGCCATCTTCCCTCTTTTGGCGCATCGCTTGGAGAATAAGATCTTTGTCATTATAATTATATAATTTCCCCGTAATTGACCTAGGCCTAGAGTTTCCCGTTGATCTCTGACCGTTTCTGTGAATCCTAATAAAGCTAACATCCAAATTTAAATGCTCTTTGATCAGCTCACTCACTTTTGTACTTAGATCTTCCTGCTCTTCCTCAGCTAAGTTATGCACAAGGATATTGTCCCTCATGGATCTACCTCTAAGGTCCACTATTTCATTCTCCTGGTGGCTGACCCTTCTATCTAGATTGATTACGATAGATTTTAAGACCTCGAGTTCTTTTCGCAAATAATTATTTTCCAATCTCAAAGTTTCAATTTCTCCAACATTATCCTCGTGCTGTTGGCCAATGTATTTAATACGATCGTCTAGGCCATCTTCATCCCATAGATCTCTGTTCATGTTATTTACAGATTGTTGCAAAATGTTTATACTGTCCAATTTACCGGTAATTGTCCGAAGGCTATCGTGGATAGCGGACATCTGAAGTGACGCCCCACTGACTTCTGACGAGAGGGTAGGATTACTGCGTGAACTGTCCTCATCCTTTCTGTTTTGAAATTGCATTATTTCTTTAAATGTTTAACTCCCAAATCACACACAAAAACTTCAAAATTACCACAGAACTGTGCTTTAAGCAGAAATAAACACCTCTGCAAAGTTAAGGGAATCACAGATTTGTCTTTCCAGCACAAATTGACTAAACCCCTCCTCGAAATTAGAACGTGACCACACTGGCCATTAGTCACGTTATCACCTATACAAAGCACTTATATTTGACATGTGCATGACTTGTTTCAAGACCTTTCGGATTGTATTATGATATTTGACTTCAGGATGGTCTGATGTAATTTCATTATCAAGTACCTGTTAGAGAAAGGTAGCTCTATAATCAAGTACCTGTTACAGGAAGGTTGCTTTAATATCTGGTGCCTTTTAGAGATAGGTAGCTATATAATCTGGTACCTGTTACAGGTAGGTAGCTATATAATCTGGTACCTGTTAGAGGTAGGTATCTTTAAAATCTGGTACTTGTACAGGTAGGTTGCTTTAATATCTGGTACATGTTACAGGTAAGTTGCCTTAATATCTGGTACCTGTTACAAGTAAGTTGTTTTTATATCTGGTACCTGTTACAGGTAGGTAGCTTTAAAATCTGGTACCTTTTAAAAGTAGGTAGCTCTTATTTCTGGTGCCTGCTACAGTTAGGTACTTTACAATCTGATACCTGTTAGAGGTAGGTAGCTTTAAAATCTAAAACCTGTTAGAGGAAGGTAGCTTTAAAATCTGGTACTTGTTAGAGGTAGATAACTTTAAAATCTGGTACCTGATAGAGGTAGGTAGCTTTAAAATCTGGTACCTGTTAGAGGTAGATATCTTTATTATCTGGTGCTTGCTACACGTATGTACTTTATAATCTGGTACCTGTTAGAGGTAGGTAGCTTTAAAATCTAGTACCTGTTAGAGGTAGGTAGCTTTAATATCTCGTACCTGTTAGAGGTAGGTAACTTTAAAATCTGGTACCTGTTAGAGGTAGGTATCTTTAAAATCTGGTACCTGTTACAGGTAGGTTGCTTTAATATCTGGTACCTGTTACAGGTAGGTAGCTTTATAATCTGGTACCTGTTACAGGTAGGTAGCTTTTAAATCTGGTACCTGTTGCAGGTAGGTAGCTTTATAATCTGGTACCTGTCACAGGTATTTAGCATTAATATCTTGTACCTGTTACAGGTAGGTAGTTTAAATATGTGGTACTTGTAAGAAGTAGGTATCTTTAATACCTGGTACCTGTTACGGGTATGTAGCTTTTATATCTGGTGCCTGTTACAGGTAGGTAGCTTCATTACTTTGTATCTGTTAGAGGTAGGAAGCACCTGTTCGAGGTAGGTAGCTTCTATATTTCTAATATTGTATGACTGTCTCTCTCTCTCTCTCTCTCTCTCTCTCTCTCTCTCTCTCTTTGTTTTCTATAAGTTAAAATTTAAAATTATATCTAATTCAAATTCAGTTGTTCATTGGATTCTTGATGTTTTCATTTTTCTTTTACTAGTAATTTACAGTTGAATGCAAGAGGAGTTGATTGCTGTTATGCCCTTAAACAATCTTCTCATTTGTTAAAGAACAAAATTCTGATCAACTTTAATAATTCAAAAAGCATCTGAATTATTTGATTCGGCAAAAATTTACAGACTTCGGACCTTGATAGCTCGAGGCGATGGTAATCCAGCTATAAAAGTTTGAATTGATGCAGGAATAAAATAATTAGTTATCGCTTGATCCCTATGTCGCGGATTCGAATCCCACTGAAGGACGTGGAACCCAGTCCTTTGGATGACACCGAATAAACCGAGGTCCCGTGTCGCAGTAGGTGCTGGCACGAAAAAGATTTATCACTGCTCAATGGCCCTCAGTACCAAGGTCAAAAATTGCAGCGGAAAATGATGGCGTCTCTGTATGAGTGAAAAATTCTCGAGGTTAAACAACGGACAAACAAACTTATCATTACATTATTCTGTGCATCTACAAGCACTCTTCACCAGTAATGTATAGAAAGATATAAAATAAATCAATTTCCTTTTATTTTTGCTTGTCTATTTTTTTTTTTCAGGTATACATGTATAAGTTGATTTTTTTCCTTCGGCTGCCCCTTTCAAAAGCGATGCTTCGTCACTGGGCGGGCGTCTTTGTGTGTGTTTGTATGTGTAGGGGGGGGGGTGTAGATATCTGTTCTATTGGTCTGGGAATTGTAACTCCCCATTGACCCCGCCAGGACTGTGTTCTCTAGAAATGTAAATTAAAGACTTTTTGGGCACAACAATACAGAAATTCCTTTAGAAGCAAAAAAGAAAAATAAAACAATGAATTAATAAAAAAATAAATAAATGTCCGTAGACTAATTTTGATGGGAAGGGGGGGGGGGGCACAGCTCCGTAGGAAGCCTTTTTGAATTTAATATCATGTAATGTTAAAATTATTGTGCCCCCCCCCCCCTGCAGTTTCTGCGAAACACAACATGTTTCTATGCTCCCAAGAACACCAATTAGATAACAATGCTTTTTTTTCTCTCTTATTTATTACGTTTTGCATATTTGTCTTATTGATAAACATTAACAGTTTCATAGAAACGATGTAGGTGGAACTTTTGAATGAGGGTAGGAATTTATGTATGTCACCGTTGTAACCCGAGATAACTCTTACGCACTTATGGAAAGACAACTCCTGTCCGCCAACCTGCAAGCGGTACATGTACCAGATATCCTCAACCGTAAAAAATAGCATGGAATGCGCTTTTTTTAAGCATGATTTTAGCTTTTTCAATTAAAAAAATCCAGTACAGCACGAACCTCTGAATATCTTACTGTAATAACAAGTTTGTTTTGTTTTTAAAATAGTGCCAATGAGAACTTTGAGTACATAATTTGATAGCATTAATTAATTAAATAGGCCTAGATAATTTTGCTTCAAACACTTGTATTAAAGTTTAATTTAGGGGATAAAAATCATCTCCTGACTTTCCTTTTTAACTACTTTCATTTTTAAAAATTAATTCTAGACTTCAATTGTGTAAATTTAGAGCTCCTGAAGACATATAGTAATTAAATGTATATCTATCTCTACTTGTTAAAATTTTGTAAGAAATCCTTGGTTTTTTTTTTTATCTTAAACACCTCTCTGCTGAAAGTAAACAAAACAACAGGGAGCCTGCAAATTCAGAATACACAAGGGGCGGAGCTATCATGTCACTCAGAACCTTTTTCACGCATGAGGAAACAAAGCAGTCCCAGAAAGCATTCCCGGGGACTGCTGGGACTACTGGGTCTGCTTTCTAGAGCAGTCCCACAGCAGTCCCATAGCGGTCCCAAAAGCAGTCCCACAGCGGTCCCACAGCAGTCCCGGGGGCTGCTTTCTGGGACTGCTTAGGTGTCAGGTTGGGTCTGGTTGGTACTGTATAATTATGCATCCACCAAATAAATATTGTTTTGTTCTTCTTTTATATATATAAAAAAAAAACAAATAAGGGGGGAGAATATATTTTACAATGTAATTATCGATACCGTTCTCAGATACACAGATACATTTACAGTCAGACTGGGTGATGAACTCGAGAATTGAATACAATAATGTATACAAAGTAAGGATCGAAAATGAAAAGGAATTGTTTACAGAAATTATTTGAATTCATATATGTCTCATTGCAGCAAACTGCCCGACCTTCTGTCATTGTGAACAGTGTCGGTTCGCATTTCCTCCAATCAAAACAAAACGTTTTATATCACTATACACATGAATCATTTTAAAATAAATGAAGAATTTAAAGTTTGATACATTGAAGTTAATATGGACATAAACGAAAGCAGAGGCAACGGAAGTATTCATACAATATCGGGGGGGGGGGGGGGGAGGGGGGTGTTATTCCCACACAGTCCGGAACCTTTGTTTAAAAATATTAAGAAAATATAAATATTCCATTTATATCACAGGACAGTTGAACATACGCCATTGTGAGTTCACTTTTAACAAAAAATAAAATTCATTAAATAAAAGTAAAGAATGAATCCTCATAACACTGCTTTCTCGTCCCTTTTTAAATGCAGAATTTTGCCTTTTAAAATCAGAACATTGTTATATTATAGCTAAATTCTTCAAGCATAGTCTGTATAGATACTCATAAAAGATTTTTTGGGGAAAGAGACTTTCAATATATATATCATATCTATCATCTGACACAACAAGGTAACAAAGATGAATTTTGTTGGATTCCAAGTCATATTGCCCTTTTTCATTCGACTGATTTTTTTTTTACTAATATCTAGATCGGACATGTCAAAGGGTCATACAAATGCATGTTCTTGCTTTTAAACATTATGCTTTAAAAATACCTGCGAACATGGACTTTCTTTTACATGATCTGCAAAAAAAAATTGTGAAATATTGTGCCGATGTAAAAAGTTATAGCATTTGCTTCAGAGAAATCTGAAGCTTCCTTCTCTTCAAATTAGGGGTGCTTTTGGTGCAAATGTATTCATCCAGTGACTTTTCATCCGATACCCAGGTTTTTTGAGCGCTCCGTACTTCAATTTCTTTCCATGAAGGTTTCTTCTATTGGAAGTATGCATTTGTGCACTTGTAACAAACAATTTATTTTTCTAAAGATATGATGAATTGGTGTTTTTCAAATAACGGACTATAAAATTAATGACAGTTTTAACTGAAAAAATCTTTCATATCTTGAAAGGCAATGAACAATGAACGGAGCACCGATGGATATTTAGGAACAAGGGCAAATGTATAATATATACCCACAGTAATTTTAATTTTAAAATTCTGTATTTCTGAGACACAAGCAGTAAGAGTAAGTGCAAGCTATATGCTACAGGACTTCAAGATAAATTGATATATACAACAACAAAAAATCAAACAAAATCGACTGAAAATATTAACACATCTTTCTCCTAGAATTTTAATTACCCATTTAAAAAATGATTTGACCATCGATAGCTCGCAGACACTAGACACAATGTCCCATAGGTGTGCTCAAAGCGTGGAAGTGAATAGATTTGACTCAC